AGACGTACAGACCCACTTCGATACACCGCCATAGCATCAAATGAATCCGCCAATCGCCAGGATGTCAATCGCTCACTTTTATGCATACTACCTCCAATGTCCCAATGTCCAGATACGTAGCTCTCTCTTATAAACAGGTGAAGGTCCACGTCGGTTGAACCTTCGTTTAAAAAGAACAGCGCTCACCCAGCATATATGCTTTAACCAAAGTCTTCTGTGAGTCAGCATTTCCAGGACTACCTTTGCTCTGAAAGCAAATCAACATTAGACTTCGGCCTATCCCATGATTTGTGTCTTTATAACATGGACTACATCGAGCCAGCGGGCTGTCGCGGCTGTCCTGTTCTGGGCCTCCTTCCTCATCCACCTACATTACTAGCACACAAATTTCATCAATCTTACAAACTAGCATCGTACACCTGATGACCATACAATTTCAACACCACATCAATCTGTCTATCGGTCTCAGGGCAGAACCCATGGTATGACTGGTACAAACTAAATAGTGTCACTTCAGACTAACAAGGCTTGCGTAAAATTGAGTGTACCAAATTATATTGAGAAGTCAATTCATATTGACGATGGAATGAGACCGGCTGTACATATGATATTGATTTGCTAAGTTCTGCTTTAGAATAAGGTCAAGTAGATCTCTGGTACCATCTTTAAGAGAGAAGAAACTTCGTCCTCATTGCAAATCTTCGTTGATGATTTAACAAGTCAAAATGGTGTAAAGGAAAAACTAAATGAAAGGAATAAGCCAGTTAAGTAAGATTTAAGTTAACAGTATGCTAGTAGAGTTGAACTAATAAAACCAATTATGATAATTAACGTGTATGTGGGTAAAGTTAGGGTGTCGGCTTTGACAAAGAAAAGTTAATGAAAGAGGACTCATCATGGATGTAAGCATGGTCGAACTTCCGTGGATTAAAATACAAATATAAGTAGAAGAATAAGTTATTGATACACGAGGTATGAGGGGATAGGATGCAGTAATAGCTTAGCAGACAAAATAAGTTTTAGAGGATACATAATCGAACTTTCCTTCAAAGTCACTGGGCCGCATTTAGAAACTCCATTTCGAATGATGCTATTCAGTCCTAATTCATTTTCATTCAACCCATTTCATTCCATTGTCTAGCTCTGTTGTATCCAAAATAAATAAAAACTATTTTTTGAATTAAGTATTGTTTTCGTGACTACCAGTAAATCAGTAATATAAGATGTATTCACCCAATTTCGTTTAAAGTGATGAAGGATTGGTAGAAGAAGAATTTTCCCACAATGATACGAGTTGAGCTGACGTTTCCATTGAATTTTAACATAGCCTTGCTTTCTCATTCAAGCTGAAGTGTACTGCATTTTCGACCTCCCATCGGTCTTAGCAACACCCTCAGCGGGAGTCGAATCGCTACAATGCAGGATGGGAGCTTGACACGCTGACCATTCGGCTACACTGCCACAAGCAGATATGCGTTTGCTTCATCGACAATCCCAACAAAGAATATGAAATGGCAAAAAGGCCTTCTTCGAAATTCACATCTGCCCTGTGACCCAAGAGCACTCGTGGCAATGTGGCCGAGTGGTTAACGTGTCAAGCTCACATTATGTACTGTCGCGGTTCGACTTCGTCCGAGGGTGTTGATAAGACAGAAGCGAGGTCGAAACTGCAGTCCACTTCAGCCTGATGAGAACAACTTTTGGGAAAGCAAGGCTATGTGAAAATTCAATGGAAACGTCAGCTCAACTCATATCATTGTGGGAAAATTCTTCTACCAGTCCTTCATCACCTTAAACGTATTTTGGTGAATACATCTTAAATAAAAAAATAGTTATATACGGTTGGAGTATTGCACTTATAAAGAGCTTTAACCTGTAGATGAATTAAGTCAATTTCTGTCCTTAATATGGTAGAATTAGGTCCATCGACTTCCTCATATGACAAATCGTGACCGTTGTACTTTTGTCTTCATCATGCCTCATTAATATGGATATTTATTTACTTGTCATGTTATTTTCGTTTTGCGGAGGGATTTCAGTCCAAATAAGTTGGCTAGTTCCTCTGATCTTACATTTTTGAGAAAACGCGCAGAATCTCACAACACACATGGTCGCTATACGAACAATCTCCTGTCACTGAACCTATATTCTAGTATCATGCAGTAGCTTACAATTCTCGGATAAATTCCAGTCCATATTTAGCCTCAAGTCATTCCGATATAATAATGAGGGCACGAAGAATCGGCCGTAAAAAGTGTATGGCCTAGGTCAAGAAGCGTTATCGACACCTGCCACCCCATCTGTGCTACCCGAGGCGTTATTTCCCACAATTTGCTTGTGAGACGCTAAAGCCCTTGCGTAATTCTCCTTGTCAAGCCTTTGCTACATTGATACGGCCATGGTAAAACAGGCCTACAGGCAGGCAACTAGCTCTAGTCTCCAGTGCGTCTATCCTGTTTCCACCACTAACACCAAGTCTATCACGTCCTATGCCCTAGTCTATTGTGGGCCAATCCACAACTGTTGTGGTTAGCGGTAGGTCTATTTTATCAATGGTCAATGGCTCAAGGGCTTGACCAAGAGAATGACTCAGGTGCTTTACCCTCAAGTTAGTCCTCCAGACGCAGAGTGTGGAAAATAACGCGTCAAATAGCACAGATGGGGTTGCAGAGTCGAATAAAATACTTTAACCATAGAGATAGCAGACGGATCCTACATGGCAAGAGCGAGACAATGGTAAGACCTATGGAAGGACTGCGTAACAATAGGGCAGACTCTGATCAACATTCCCAGCACAAGGGTGAAGGGTTTTCATGAACGCCGCTCAAAGGAGCACATAACACTACATCGAAATGAGTGATAAGAGGATATATAAGAAGGCAGACTGATCAACATTTACAAATAAAAGAGTTAAGTAGGTTAGTGGTGAGAAATCCAGCATGGAATGCAAAGAGTTCCCATGAGATCCGCTCAAAAAGACACACCATACCACACTAAAATAAGTAAGTAAAAATTGTAATAGTTAATGCGTGATATGAGGATATAGGATTGGTGATTAGTCCAAGGCGGAAGGAGAGATACCCCCATTGTTTGGCAGACAAATGGCCAAAGGATCGGCTTTACTTGTCCTTTTGACGACTTGTACTTTGGTGCAAAGACTGGCAATGCTCACTAACAATGCCGGCGAAGCGTCTGAGAGTGTACCACGTCCATGATCCGACTTTGAAAATTATCATGCATACTATGAACGCCAGACTAGGCACGTTCCTCTAGATCTTCCTATCAATATGACCAAATTGCACAAACAGGGTCGAACAACTTCTAAAAAAGAAAGGAAAATGCTACCACACAAAAGGCCACACCATCTTGGTCTTCATACCCTTGATAAAAGTGTTTATTTCAAAATAACAATGAATCTATTCTTTCACATTTTAAAACACTATCTTAATAGAATGAGTATTTCACATCAATCTTGATAGTAAATACATAGCATTCCAATCCTTAGGTTCTTCAAAACTTCATGTAATTTGCCCTTTAGATATATACAAATAAATCCAAACATTCTAATTGTTTAATTTTGCTTCAAAATTAATATTTTTAAAAATGCATACAAAATAAGAAATTATTCTATGAATAGATTGGAAAATTTGTCGCATCAGAAGATTACGGCGGATTGCTCTTGACCGGTTTTAATTTAGCTTTAGTAGGAAATTCTAGTCGACACTGTTGTCGAGGCAAACTCTTACGATTCAGGTGAAAACATTTTCTCCTAAATTATTCGTAAGAATAATAGCCTGTTCTGATGATGTGTCCCAGATGATAGATGAATGTCTAGCACTTTTTCACAAGAATATGAGATGATTGATTCGGAGAGAGCTCCAACCAAAATGTTTTCCAAAAGTCAATCGACAGATGTCCAAAAGAAATACGTCACCTTCTTATGGTATTGGCTCTCGAATGGCTTCATTAGACATTTCCACTCGAAATGGAAATAAGTTTTAAAAGTGAATATAAAAGAATTTTACGACACTATTTTTCGTAGCAAAATAAATACTCACCGAAAAAATAATGTTTATGAAAAAAGTAAAATAATTCTGACACAAGGTCAAAGCTAGCATAGATTTCATTAATTTTTTATCATGCCGCCTTTATGCTTTAAGCAGATAACAAGAAAGATAATGATTAAGACAATATTACACTTGAAAACAAAGAATCACCTCAATTGCAATGGCTGCTGCCACACTTGCTGAAGACGTCGTTCTGTGCTCAAGGCACGAACTTGAGGCACTAGAGATGAGACAGGCAGAAGCAAGAGAAGCATTTGAGGTTCCTGATAAATGAACGCTGCTTCGAGTGGCTGTGGCCGCACCTAAACCACCAGATGGACTTGTTTGGGTGGACAAGCTACCAAACGGAAAGCCACGCACTCGACAAGGGGCAGGGGGGAAAAATGTGAGACCAGATGTCTCGAGTTCTACATCAGCTTCAGCGAGCGGAGCTGCAGAACTGTTTATGCCAGGACATGAACGTTTGTAACATGTGCGAAGATGATTTAATTCAAAGGAGGTATCAAAGGCACCAGGAGAACCAACTATTATACGACCATCATTTCGAGTAGTCAATGTTTCTGTATAGAGGAAAAACAATGAATAGTGTAAAAGTTTGCCCACGTAAAATATAAGTAAAGTGAATAAAAAAGGGAGATCATTAAGAGAAATAACAGCGATTATCTTCGATGTAATGATGTTTTCCTTTCCGCCATTATGCATCGTCACTTACAAAACTAATTAGCTGTTATAGAACAGTGCATTTGCCAATGTCCATTAGTACATTATATTTTTTTCCCATTCTATTGTGAGTTTAGATTCAAGACCGGACTAGAATTTGCCTAGGTAGGTTTCATAATGACCATAAAATAAGTTGATAAATCAATAAGACAAAACCTATAATGACAGTAATTTAACTTAATAAATACAATAAATGAAATGGCTCAAAAGCAAATAAATTAAAGTAAAATTCGATGCATCTAGGTGCAAAAATATTCTAACGTTATTTTAATATAATACACTATATGAGTCTGAAATATAGATTTGACCTTCCAAAAATATAAAAATAGGATGTTATATCAATAATTATTTGTTTAACGTATGTAAGCGAATAAAGAAAGAAATATTAGAAATAACGATCTTAAGGTAATCAAATAAATCTGTAAATTCAAAAAAACATCGGACATTGATGCAAAATTCAGATAACATAAATATTTGTGAGGTAAGGATAAAAAATAGTTATTTATGAGACTCTTTTATCAGTTTAGAAATTGTAAAGAACATAAGGCCATAGAATCAACAAAGAATGAGAGATAAACAATTCTTCTTGCAAGTTAAATGGTTAATTATATCCAAAGCTCCACTCTCGTTTCTATGGAGGAAAAAGATTTATGTTGCACACAAAATACATTCCTTCTTATACTAAAACAGACGCAAATAATTCTAATTTTTAAAGTAAAAATGATATGAATTACACTTTGGGATCCACTTTAGAGGTATATTTGCAAATTAATAGTTTGAGCTGGAATAATAAAAAAATTAAGTTATCGACTAAGTGCCAACAAAGTAGTTGGCATCATGGATAAACCAAAGTAGTTTAAATGATGATGGACGTTACGCGAAATTTTTAAAGACCTCATATTATGCCTATCAAAATAAATCGTCTCAATACAAAGAAAATTACCGACACCAGGCTGCGGGAGGGTGGTTGATATGCATGGTTGATATGATTTCAACTTTCTCCCAATAAACCTACTGCCTCCACAGGCTACACCTTCGCCAACAAGAGAGACAGTATCAGCACGGACGCTAGGTAAACCGACAGAAGAAGCACGCATAGCAGGTCCTAGAAACGGTGGCCCAGTTACGGCGCCTGCAGATACAACTCCACCACTAGCAAGTGACCGACGAATGTTACGCAGACCGGCCCAGACCGAATGGCAAACACTTTTTCTGGTCTTACTGCATACCGAACTTCGGCCACCAGCTACGCGACTTCGACTCCTTTCATTTACGTCACCGCCTCCCCCGTTGCTTCCACCAACTGAACCACCACCAAATAAGTGACTGAGAGTGGATGCTGCATTCGAGGTGAGAGACTTTCCTGTACCCTTTCGATGCCTAGTTCCAGTGGTCTCAACTCCAGTCAAAGTTGCGGAGGAGACTGCAGAACAATCAACTTAATTTCAAAGTTGAAAAAAGAAAAGTAATTAGTTGAATCTAAAATAATTCAAAATAAGCTGATAACAACTTTCGGTTAAGGCGCAAATTAAGACAATTCAAAAAATAGAATAAAAAATCTTAAGGATGTAGATAATAAAAGTATTTAGCATTCGATGGTGAAGATAGATATGGAATGTATTCACTCTGTTTTGTTTAAGATGATAACAGGACTAATAATTGAATTTTACCATAATGATATGAGTATAGCTTGCGCTCACATTGAATTTAACCGTCTTACTTTCCCAAAAGGTGGACTGCAGTTTCAACCTCAAATAGGCCTTACCAATACCCTTAGATGAAATCAAACCGTAACAATGCAGCGATTAATCTTGACACGTTAACAACTATGTTTAAAGTTGGCAAATTTAAGCAACCAACGTTAATATTAATCAACATACTAAAATAAAAGATATGAAGACCAGGATGGTCGTTATGGCCGCAGTCTCTTCTCTGTTTGACGAATTTGTAGCTTGTCGAGAGGAATAGCAAGACTCACTGATGATGCCGGCGAAATCATTGAGAATGTACCATGTCCATGTTCTGATGCTGGTAATTATGATAACTAGTATGGCAGAGGACTTGAGACAAGATGTGTTCAACTAAGTTGCCGTGACAACCAGAGCAAGTTGCGAAAACGAGGTAAACTCACATATCAAAATAAAGTATAAATTTAATTAGGCCAGACTCCGAAAAAAAACAAGGTAATTGTGAATTATTAACTAATTAGTAAAGATCAAATATCTCATTTTCATTGTGACACAAATAAAAAAACGTTCCAGATGAATGAGTAAGAAGATTGGCTGTAGCACCAAGCAAATATAAGATAAATAACTGTAATAAATATATTAGAATATAGCTCCTTATTAAAAATTTGTAGTTAAAGCTGTTAAACGTTTTTTTTCATCATATATAAAAGCCACAATTCTGAGATAATTGTAAAAATGATTTCATGGGATGAGGCATACACAATGATTAAGTAATATTAAATAAAATAACGGCAGATCTACAAATATCCTGGTACGATTGGACTTAAGATAGATATAGTAGACACATTATCTGTAGCATCAGATAAAACACATATTTAGCTTAATACAAATGGAGACAAAAATACTAGATCGATCTTGTATTCAGCTTTACAATAAAAAATTGGATCAGAATGTTACATTGAAATGTCTAGCCAAGAAACAGTTAAGAAGCTTTGGCCAATAATGATCGCTTGTATTATCCATATCCAGAAAAGATTAAGAAATATATGAAGTGAATTGACAATTCATACAAAATAAGAAGGGAAATACGCAAACGAGAATTATTTACTCCAAATGAGAATCAGAAGAGGTTAAGTCGCTCTGAGAGTGAGCAGTGAAAGAAAAACACAAAGAGCAGGAAGCGTATGGATACAAAAACTATTGCTTAAAAGCCCAATTGTAATGATCTATTTAGTTGGGAAAAAATCTCCAATTGAATCTTGTTGGGGGGACTTTCAATTCGTATGAAAGTGCATGAAGAAGAGATTCGTAGGACGATGTCACCTCTCTCGTTTAAGGTGAAAACGGACAAAAGCTCGGTCCGTTTTAGCCTGGAATGAGGGAGGTCTAGTATACTGCATCAAACTGAACGCCATATAATAGCCATACGACTACAGTAAACGGGATTCATCCGTCCTTATCTCAACCATACTTGCTTACGGACATACGCAGTCTTGGTCAGGGCTTTCTATTGGGTCATTAGGCCTTGATGATGAGAGTCTAACATTAGCCTTTTGATAACTCTGATTTAGGACCGGTATTTCGTATAGACGCTAACACACACACGCACATACTCGAGCAAAAGTTGCAAACTAGTATGAACGATAATTAACGAAACCACTTTATATCTATCTAGGTTTTTAAATTTATATTGCTTAACTGAGTGCATATAAGAGGTTAGTTAGAGCCGGATAGTCTTCTTGCCCTAGTGTTAATGTGATACTCTTACAGGAATGAGACCCAGCTCTGATCTGATCCATTATATGATGGACGAAAGCTCAGCTAATTTTCACCTGAAACGAGGGAGGAGGTATCGTGAACTGCTCCAACTTAAACTTTGTATAAAAGTCAAATGGCTGTAGTGCAACGGGATTCATCCGTCCTCTTCTTCATGTACTTTCATAGGAAATAAAAGTCCCCCCAACAATTTTATCTCAGGAAATTCATCAAAACGAAGTTTCCCTTCGTATCTCGAAAAGAAGCGTTAGCAGTAAGTAGATAAAAAATGACATTAAATCTATAAAATGACCAAGAAAATGGAAAACATTGTAATTCAAGTGGGTTGACCTCGTTGTCGCAACTTTGTCTTGTTTTCAGGGAGACAATGTAGAAC